CAAGTAATTCTAATCTACTGAAGCACCTCACATCGTCACATGCCGCCACAAAATTAGTGGCTAAGAACGCAGGTGATAACGTGAGCTCTGCTACCAAAGGACATTTCTACATTTCTTCAGAAGCATAATTTATATTTGGACTTATTTGTTGACAAGTTGTGGTCTGTGCAATAAATATTTAAAGTTCTAAACCATCTATTGTGCTTTACTGTTCCACTAAAGTAATGATAATATTTATAATAATATGTTGAATTTGATAGTTGTCTCTCACGTTGTCCCACAACAACATTAAAATAGTGTAGATTAGTGTGCAATGTTTTATATTTATTTATAGTTATATTAAATTAGATTTTTTTTTTAAGTAACGCAATAGTTACTTTGCCTGGTAATTAGTTACTTTTATAATGATGTAACTCAGTTACTAACTCAGTTACTATTTGTGAGAAGTAACTAGTAACTATAACTAATTACTTTTTTAAAGGTACATGCCCAACACTGCTGGGAGGGGCGTGGCTGTTAATAGAAAACTGGTTCTTCTGGCAGCTGCTGGCAGGAGGGGGGAAACTGGTAATAATGAACCAATATAACAGGTTCTGCAAGGGGAAGAACTATGTTTAAGCCCGTTCCCAGCTCTGATTGATCATTTCTAACAGGACATTTCACGAGTCTGGAGGACATTTGAGGTGAAGTGTTTAAATTCATCCTTAATTCTTGTTGGATAAATGTTTCATTCTAATTTGAAATAGCACATCTTATTTAATAACACTGACAAAAGAGTTAATGGGTTTTCTTCCTTAAAACTTTGTTGGCTAAATGTTTTATTCTAATTTTGAAATGGCGCGTTCAAGTTAAAGCGTTTTATTCCTTCTTTAAAACATTAGGCCATAGTACAGAAGTCTGAAGAACCAGAACAGGAAGCCAGAACACGTGAGTTAAATTGCTTAAATTCTTCCTTAATTCTTGTTGGCTCAATGCTTTATTTATTATGTATTTATTACCAATTTATAATAGCACATTAACAAAAACTGCTAGTTTTCATTACTTCAACAAAACATATATGCCTATGTGCGCCTGGTACGGGGCACCAAGTGTCAGGCACTCATTTTCGTGTACATTCTGTGCCACAAAAAGCATTATTTAATGACAAGATCAGAAATGTCTTGCTGCATTGTGTCCACAAAAGCAAAAAGACTTCACTTTCTTTTGTGCACAGAAATCAAAAGGAATATTTCATTTTGTGCACAAAACTGATATGTCACACCAGATACGTGAGAGTTGGTAACCCTGTAACCCCATCTGCTCCTGGCTAGCTACCTGAGGCTAATGCTGCATGCACAGAAAACAAGATTATTTTCTCTCAATGTCAAATAGGGCCCATAGCCAGGCGTGTATGATAAGGGGTGGAGGGGTATGGCTGACCTACTTATTGTGCTCGTGAAGGAACACCATGTAAGCCTTGCCCCGTCTATGATGTCACAACCCACTAAGCTGCGCCTCTGCTGCCAATGAACATTTTTTGCCATCAACTGTATGAAGTCTATTTTTGCCAGACTCAAATGTCCATGTAACCCACCATTAAAAAGTATTCACCTTCTGTTTTACAGCTGGCTTTACACAAATTATGTCACTCTGACACACTGAAGTGTCAGGGTCAGTCATAACTTTTTACGTCACTTGAAAACAGTGACATAACAACTCAATGTCAGCTTAAACCTATAATAGTTGACATGTCAATAGTTGATATGTCAACTTGACACAGGAGTTCCCTGTGTCCGCATTTATGACCACTACAAAAGTTGGAATGAACCTTTATAAATGCTTTTGTCAAGATATGTCCACTGTCATGAAGGGTTTATGTTGGTGTCATGTAGCCTTATGAAGCACACCCTAAAGTAAAGTGTTACCAAAATTACTTAAAAAAAAAAAAACAAAAAAACACTGATCTTCAAATCTGAAACATCATGAGACACATTTTTGATTCCTTACAGGAAAGAGGACAATGGCAGACCTACTGAAACCTACCAAGTATATTGATAGAGACATCAAACCAATAATGCAACCGTATGGTAACTGGGTGAAGTACCTGGTACCTGCCCCAGACGCCATAGCCATTCTAGGGGAGCTGGTCAGAATCTCCAATAATTTAGATTTCTCCATCAACAAAAACCCTCCAAAAGATGGCTTTCAGTACATCAAGTACCCAGACTCATTCTCTGCCTGTCTTATGGAAGTGGTTCATTCTGGATGGGCGGCATTCAATGAGGCTCACAAGAACATGGACCAGATCCGTCTCCACACTGGCAATGTGCCAGCTTACATGGAAAGGATGTTACTACAGGACAGTGATGAGTGGCGCCAGAAACTCCTCCCTGTCACAGTGGAAGACATGTCTTCTATATCTGACGAATGTGTAAAATTGGCTGATGAAACAGAGAAAAAGTTCACCTTTGTTATTAATCTGATCCAAGAACTTTTAGAAGCTTGTAAAAGTGCAAAGAAGGTATATGGTAGTGATCTGGAGAATGTTGAACGTAAATGTAAGGAGCTAGAAATTGAGAAAGAGGCATCAAATCTAGCTACTGAAAGAGCCCAGAAAATGTTTGATTACATAAATGAACAGGTAACAGCAGCAGAGATTAATTTCGATGAAGCAATGAAAAAAGTACCATCTGGATGGAAAGTGTTTTCTATGAACCTGTCAGATGCATTTATAGATGGTATGTTAACAATTTTGTCTTTACTGACAAGGATGACTGCAAAGAGCAGAGGTCAAATATGTAATGTAAATGTTAGAAATACCATAGCTGGTTCCCAGGATGCAAAAAATGAAAGTGAGGATACCCTTGCTATGTGTAATATACTCACCAAAGCAATACTGCTTCTGAAGCTGACTGAAACACTAAACAGCTTCATTGACAAAGAGGAAATTAAATGGTCTGAAATATATGATGAAAATGAAAATATGGCAAAGACATTATACCTGGGGGAACAATATAATCAGGTGAAAACCTCAATGGAGAGTGAGAAAAACTGTAAAGCTAAAAAGGTCGCACTTGACATCTGCACAGACGCCATTAAACTGTGCTCTGAGCTCACCGAGATCGCACCTGAAGGGAAATGCGATGCTGTGAAGACAAAAGCCATGATTGGAAGAATGCAGAGTCTGTTGAAACAGTGTCAGATATTTGACCGTGAGAACAAAGCCTTCACAACCACACCAGTTTTTACTCCTGAACCCCCACAGCAAGCTAAGGAAAGTGGCAAAAAATGGGCAGGTGATATGGCGGCGGGAAATGCCCAACTCCGCATAGAGCAGAGTCAAGCCCAGCTGGACAAGGTGAGAGTGAAGCAACAAGAGGGTTTGGAAAACCTGGAGAAAAACCAGAAGGAGCGGATGGAGATCTTAACAGCATTGGAAAACTGTAAGGTGAAAGAGTTTGACATCAGCACCACCATTGAAATGCTGGTCAAAGGTCTAGATGCCATGGGAAGAGAGAAAGCAGAGTGGGAGACAATGGTACGCTTCTTTCAGATGATCTCAAACATTGTCAAAACCCGCATGGATAGGTCTCTGAAAACATTAGCCAAACAATCTCAGAACCTATCTGAAAAAGAGAGGTTTATGTGTAGGCTGAATGCCGACATGGTTATGCAGGCATTACTCGTAACCTCCCTCATTAACAAATTGTCAGAGACCTACTATAATCTTTCTGAAAAACACCTGATGGACACAATCAACATTCTGGGAAAACTTCCGGCTCTGGATTCTGCCAGCCCAGATTTTGAAAGGGAATATGAAATATTTCGGGAGGCTTGTAAAAAAGCTAAAGATGCAATAGATGAGCTTATGACGGATGAACAGAAACAACAAAGAAACAAGAAACAAAGAAAATTATTCCCAGCTTTTGAGAATGAAACAACTGAAATCACAGGTTTTGCATTAAAAAAACGAGTCAGGAGGATGATCAGTTTGTATGAAGATTATGGAAATACATGTATAAATTACAACAAAATCACAAACATACTTGATTAACAAACATACACATGCATGCACACATGTATACACATATTAACGTTAATGTATTCATCTCATGCTAGAAAAAATTTATCTGCTCTTGTTTTGATTCATTGCTCATATTTGATACATTTGCATTATTTAGGTCACATTTTCATTTACTGATTCCAACTGTATTGCTGTGTGAAATACTATGTGCAAAGTGTCAAAGGATTTAAACTTTAAAAACAGTTTGCCAAACTACACACATGAGATACGGGGTTTAACATTTTTCTAGCTAAAGTGGCAGGTTTGAAGACACCCTGAGTTTGTGACACCAACTAACTTCAGCACAACCCAGGAGTGGAGATCCACTTACAGCAGAGACTTGGAGTCGGAGGCCTGACCTCACTGTCAAAGCTCAAGAAAGAAGAAGACGATGACAACCCAGGGGTCTCACCAAAGATCACGTCCATCTCACAGCTCTGGGATCGTGTTTGTTTGCATGTTTTCCCTCAGTTCTGCTGGCTGAGCTCTGTAACTGTAATGCACTGGAAAGTGTGTCTCCTCCCTGCAGTGCTACATATTTTGTAAAAAACAATGGCACTCGGGTTTGAGCTTTTAAATGCAGACTTGCTTTTGTATATTTAATTTAAAAAGCTTAAATTTTTGCCTGGTATATATTTACATTTCTTTCATTGCAAAACATTATTAGCAATAAAATGTATTAGATTTCATAAATGGCATCTTCTGTATGAATCAAATCATTTTAATATTAAGATTTTTTTCTCTAATCAAGCCAAAATTACTCATGATTTAGCTAACATAATTAAAAATATATAATCCATTAAAATAAACAGTGGTGATTTTTTTGTATTTGGAGAGGTATCACCTTAAAGTCTCATAATAAAGCAATAACATACGAGCAGTAGTGTGGTTGTACTCTAATATCACGGCAGTGATTTGGTCATAGGCACGAGGCCATAGTTCATCGAGTAGCATTTCTAAGTTAACACTAAGCCACAACAGATAATACTTTGCTTGATTATTTATTTAAACATTTACACACCTCAGCAGAAAAATAATAGGTCCCACCAGTCAACTGTTGCCAAGCAACACAAACAATACAGCTCACTCACTCCCAACTACTTTGCATCGTATAATAATTTGCAAAATATATTCATATTTTACTGTTGAACTGGGGCACATTTCCCAAAAGCTCTTGTTAATAACTTAGATAGCTGAAACCATTCAGTTACATGGTTTCAAATGTGTTAGTTGTTCATGTAATTAGCAACTATGTGTTTGGGATGAGGCTGAAGTTGGTTTCTTATTTGGCAGTTTCTTATTCACAAAATCCATTCCACCCTAGACATAATGCATGTTCTACTGTCACGTGTAGGCAAGAAGGAGATCGGAGATCCTGAAGTGCAGGGATCAGGCAGGTTTATTATTGGGATCAGGACCCTCCCCCAGGTGGCAAGGGACAGGACAGGTGTCCCGAGTCGGAACTCCCGCTCAGTGATGCGGAGCAGAGGAGTGGGATCGGCGCGCTTGAATCGTAGTCGGGGTGCGTTGTCCGGGGTCGTTGCCAAGGGGATCCTTCCGACGGAAAAAGACAGGAACAGGGAACACGAGGCTGGAGATGACGAACGTGGCGGGGCAGGTAAGTCACGGACGGGAACGGGTCTGAGGAGGGAAGGTAAGGAGTCAAGGGTAGCACACCAGGACGACAGGTAAGGCAAGGGTAAACGGGAGACAGGTAAATCGCTCGGTAAGGCACAGTAACATCGGCTCAATACTTCGCAACGAGTGATGGCGCTGTTCTGCTTTTAACACCGCATTAATCTGCTGTTGATGCAGTGCACCTGTCTGACCCCGCCCCTGTGGGCGTGACATCTACCATGTTGACAATTTTTCTTGTCAATATCAAAACATCTGTTCGAAAGCTCAATAACTTCTGATACACCAACTATTACACTTACTATGTGCAGAGTTTAAAGAGATTTTATTGTCCAATTTTATAAATAATCCCCTCTGAAACTGGCATTTTTTCCCATTAAGACCCATTAGAAAACAATGCGTGGCGTGCCATGTTCACAGCAATTTATCTGGTCAATGTCAAGACATCTGTGCCAAAGTTTAATACCATCTCCTAAACCAACTATTACACTTACTATTTCCAGAAGTTGAATGTATTTTACTGTAGAATTTTTTTAATAATGCCCTCTGAAATTGGTAGTTTTTCCTTTTAAGACCTAGTGAAAACAGTGAGTGCCATCATATTCACTGTAATTTATCTGGCCAATATCAAAATATCTGTTCAACTTAGCGTAATAACATCTGATACACCAGCTATTACCCTTACTATATCCTGCATTTGAAGACATTTTACTGTATAGATTTTATTATAATGCCATTTGAAAATCCCACTTTTTCAATTAAATCCCACTGAAAAATAATTCATGTTCTGCCATATTGCTATACCAAAGCACCAGTTATATGTTTGTGGAAAAAGGAAAAATAATTGAAATTATTGAATTATTCCTCAAATATGTTTTGTTTTTTTTGCTTAAACATTTATTTATTCAAGAGTTCAAGAGTGAATAGAAAGTTACATTAAAGTTTTCAACATATAAAAGAAAAACAGACTACCATGCCTAATTCAATTTTTACACAGCCAGTCTACTATGGAACTTTCGGAAGGACGTTGGCATTTTTAAAGTCCCTTGTCACTCTTGTGAGAACCTGGCAAAGTGAGCATGAAAATCTTCAACGCTCAAGGATGCAAGTGTCTTCTTAAAGAAAGGTAAATATAAAACTATATAAGTAAGGGGAATATTTGGCAGTCCTTGTCATTGTCAGCATCCACACTGTCAACCACTTGCCTTTTGACTGTTGTGACAAATGCAGCAAAGTGCTACCATACTACAGAAGCCTTGAAGGGCAAAACACACCAGCAAATAGGAAAACACACCAACAAATACAAAACACACTAGCAAATAAGACAACATGCCAGCAAATACAAAAATACTACAACATTAATGGCACTGAAAATAGAAAGGGTGTGTAGCTACTAATCGCCATGTGCTTGTTATTGATTGGACAGGCAACCTATCAATCAGCCGACAGTTAATGCAAAGGTACATCTTTAAGGAACTTTTAACATGCTATGTTCAAATGAACACACTGCTTTGTGTGTACCTTTTCACTACAACTCTGCATCACAACTTATTTTTCTTGTGATCTCAACATAGTTCAACAAGTTGTTTTCTTGAAATCACAAAATAATCTTGGGAAAATAAAAGTTATAATTAAACATGGGAACAGCATTTGTCTAGAACAGCATTTCCCTAGTATGAGGGAATCGGATTCCACTAAAATATGCTACACACAAAGGGGAACTTTCTCTTGTTGTGAGATATGATTTCAACATTATCTTTTAAAACGTGACAGCGGCAGTAAAACTTATTTCACACTATCATGGTTAAACCTCTTAGTTAAATCCGTGGTTCACAACATCCGTGCCAAACCGAGGGGGATCCGTTCTGATCACAGATCAATTACGTTCTGCTTAAACCACTAGTATGCTTATCAAAATTGTAATAGTAAAGTTAGATAGACATTTATTGTACAGTAGGTGCTTACAATCGTTCTGCTACATAAGATGGTTGAGTTCAAGGAATACAATCGAGGTTCACTCGGACCAAAAGGCAGGGCAATGTATTTTTCTAGCTTATCTCCTAATGTTGACTAGACTGAGGTTGATGTCACGCCCCCCTGTCCGCATACGGTCGATTTGAATCAGCTGCCTCCAAATACTGCCCACTATTCATGCTGAATTTAAGCATAAAGCTGACCACAGTCCAACGTGAGGTATTGTTATATGCATTGGCAACATACTGAGTGTAATTATCCATGTCTTCTGTCCAGCTCTGTTCCGCCCTGCTTGCCCTACCCGACTCTTCAGCCTGCCCGTCTCTGCTACCAACCTGCCCTTCCTCCCCTCGCTCTTCCTCCTTGTGAATTCCTTGTGTTCCCTGTCTATATGCCTGGACGGATCCCTTGTTTACCAAACCGCAAGCCTGAAAACCCAAACTCGACTCCGGATCTCGATTCTACTCCTTGCCATGGCTTTCTGACCTCCCAGACCTCGCCTCTGTAATGCTCCTAGTACCTTTCAGAAGTTGATGCAGAGGGTTTCTCGTGATCAACAATGCCAGTCTTTGCTTTTGTATCTGGATGATATAGTGGTCTTATTCCTGTACAGTAGAACAACATTTTGAAAGGTTGGAGGTGGTATTGGGTAGACTACAGCAGGAAAATCTTAAAGAAAAATTGGCCAAATGTGCCTTCTTTCAGCAGGAGGTGCATTATTTGAGGTTTCTGGTGAGGGTGTTTCTTCCGATCCTGGTAAGACTGATGCGGTAGTGAATTAGCCACGTCCATCCACTATCTTTCAACTGTGGTCATTCCTTGGCTTTGCCAGTTAGTACCGTTGGTTTGTGGAAGGTTTTGCCAAGCTGGCCGCTCCCTTACAGTGGGTATGGAAAGTATTCAGACCCCCTTCAATTTTTCACTCTTTGTTATATTGCAGCCATTTGCTAAAATCATTTAAAATAATTTTTTTCCTCATTAATGTTCACAGCACCCCATATTTGCAGACAAAAAAAAAGAATTTTTGAAATTGTTGCAGATTTATTAAAAAAGAAAAACTGAAATATCACATGGTCCTAAGTATTCAGACCCTTTGCTGTGACACTCATATATTTAACTCAGGTGCTTTCCATTTCTTCTGATCATCCTTCATTCATTCATTTGAGTCCAGCTGTGTTTGATTACACTGATTGGACTTGATTAGGAAAGCCACACACCCGTCTATATAAGACCTTACAGCTCACAATGCATGTCAGAGCAAATGAGAATCATGAGGTCAAAGGAACTGCCTGAAGAACTCAGAGACAGAAATGTGGCAAGGCACAGATCTGGCCAAGGTTACAAAAAAAAAATTCTGCTGTACTTAAGGTTCCCAAAAGCACAGTGGCCTCCATAATCCTTAAATGGAAGATGTTTGGGACGACCAGAACCCTTCCTAGAGCTGGCCGTCTGGCCAAGCTGAGCTACTGGGGGAGAAGAGCCTTGGTGAGAGAGGTAAAGAAGAACCCAAAGATCACTTTGGCTGAGCTCCAGAGATGAAGTCAGGAGATAGGAGAAAATTGCAGAAAGTCAACCATCACTGCAGCCCTCCACCAGTCAGGGCTTTATGGCAGAGTGGCCTGTCGGAAGCCTCTCCTCAGTGCAAGACACATGACGGCCTGCATGGAGTTTGTTAAAAGACACCTGAAGGACTCTGAGATGGTGAGAAATAAGATTCTCTGGTCTGATGAGACCAAGATAGAACTTTTTGGCCTTAATTCTAAGCGGTATGTGTGGAGATAATCAGGCACTGCTCATCACTTGTCCAATACAGTCCCCACAGTGAAGCATGGCGGTGGCAGCATCATGCTGTGGGGGTGTTTTTCAGCTGCAGGGACAGGACGACTGGTTGCAATCGAGGGAAAGATGAATGCGGCCAAGTACAGGGATATCCTGGACAAAAACCTTCTCCAGAGTGCTAAGGACCTCAGACTGGGCCGAAGGTTTACCTTCTGTAGCACCCCCTTCTTGACTCCAAGGGAGCATAAAAGGGGTGCCCTAGGTTCGGCTCTGTGGTCTGGCTGAATCTCACAATGCAGTGCCTTCAGAGCTTTACTAACACAACGTTTATTAATTACAAAAACAGGAAAACAAAAAGGGCTCACAACAGAAAAGCAAATGCCTGTGTCTATCGCACCACACCGTTGCAATAGTGATCAAAAGATTTCGAGAGCGCTAAAACCTTACAAAACAAAATACCTTAACTGGTATTTTGTCCGGCGATAACCAACCCAGTATACCATTAGCTGTAATATACATCAAACCCCATATGGCAACTCGTATTACAAATGGACCCATGTACACACAACTCGCAACGATATATAACACACTTTCAACATATAATGTCCACGTCCCCTCGATACAAGTTTCAATCCAACAGACAAGAACAAAAGACCGCAAATTACATATAACAGCGTAAGCTAAAATAAATGACAGAGATTTAACGACAGCACTCTGTAAACATAAGCGAAATACTCCGGAGTATTCTAATACGAATGCTCTTATGGTGCAGGCCTGGATGAGGCTTAGGTGCGTTGAGGCCAAAACGGTAATGGCCGCTTCGCTCGGAGAGGGGGGGAAAAAAAACTCTCGTTACCTCCACTGGGTTTCAAGCTGGCTCTGGCAGGATTGTCCACCAAGCGTCCTCCACGATACAGGAAATCCAACGAAGCCCGATGAACTTTGTGTGTCCCCGGTAACACAAAGCGCTATCGGGATCTCGTCTGTCCGGGACTGCGCAGTCAGCCAAAACTGGCCCGTTTCAGATCAGCCAGTCTACCCAGCGCTTTACACAGGGTTCACAACCTTATAATCTCACCCCAACTCAATATATTTGTTTAATATATTTATTTAATATATTTATTTAGTTATTGCCTAACTAAATAAACTGACAATACTTTTTCTTCCGTACTCTGCCCAAACAGCGATCTCTCTACCCTCCGGCCGTCTTTTCCCCTGCCTCTCTCGCGCCTTTTTTTCACCTCCCCGCTTTTTTTCCACACATCACGCCCCATCTCTCCATCTGATTGGGGTTCTAACACAGAGTCCCAATCATATTGCAGCCATCCTCTGACTGACAATACAGAGTAAACCTCAGCGAGTGTCTGCAAATGATTTACGGGCAAGCTTCAAATGAAGCTGAACAAACTTAAACTAAGCGGAGAAGCAACAACAAAAATCGATTAAAATATATTACCATGGGCTACACTTCCAACAAGACAATGACCCTAAGCACACAGCTAAAATAACGAAGGAGTGGCTTCACAACAACTCTGTGACTGTTCTTGAATGGCCCAGCCAGAGCCCTGACTTAAACCCAATTGAGTATCTCTGGAGAGACCTAAAAATGGCTGTCCACCAACGTTTACCATCCAACCTGACAGAACTGGAGAGGATCTGCAAGGAGGAATGGCAGAGGATCCCCAAATCCAGGTGTGAAAAACTTGTTGCATCTTTCCCAAGAAGACTCATGGCTGTATTAGCTCAAAAGGGTGCTTCTACTAAATACTGAGCAAAGGGTCTGAATACTTAGGACCATGTGATATTTCAGTTTTTCTTTTTTAATAAATCTGCAACAATTTCAAAAATTCTTTTTTTTTGTCTGTGAATATGGGGTGCTGTGTGTACATTAATGAGGAAAAAAATATTTTTAATGATTTTAGCAAATGGCTGCAATATAACAAAGAGTGAAAAATTGAAGGGGGTCTGAATACTTTCCGTACCCACTGTACATAGACTGGTATCCAAGTTGGATGGAGCGAAGTCGAAGAGGTCAGACTGCAGTCTCATCAGGCATTGGAGTGAGGAATGTCACAATAGCTTTGAGGAACTCAAGGCTAAGCTTACCAGTGCACCTGTTCTTGCTTTCACTTATTTTACTCTACCCTTCATTTTGGATGTAGGTAAAGCCATGGTGGCCTTGGAGCCATGTTATCTCAAGTCCAGGAAAGAAAGGTGAGGCCGGTCGCCTATGCTAGTAGGGGCCTGCGGCCAGTGGAGCGTAATATGGCCAATTATAGCTCCATGAAGTTTTTGGAACTTAAGTGGGCAATGTTTATGGAGTACCTTTTGGGTCATAAGTGTATTGTCTACACCGACAACAAGCCTCTCAGTCATTTGTCCACTGCCAAGCTGGGTGCCCAGCTTGCCTCTTTAAATTTTGAAATCAAGTACCGTTCTGGGAAGAGTAATAAGAACGCTGATGCATTATCTCGACAGCACTCTCCTGGTGTGCAAGATCTGAGGGCCATGCTATCTGGCACCCCACTTCCAAAGCTCCTGCATCAAGTTTTGCAGCCTTCAATGGCTGAAGTAATGCAAGCTGCTGCTATAGTCTTGCCATATCATCCATCTGACATTCGAGCACTGCAGGAAATTGATCTGGTGATCCAGAAGGTTTTGGCATTCTGGAAGCAGAAGCGACGACCAAATCGGGAGGAGAGTAAACAGTTGGGTTCCTCTGCATTTCTCAGGCAATGGGACCGATTGGTAGAGCAGAATGGCATTTTATTTTGCCAGGTCTTCAGTTCTGATGGTGCGGAGGCCGTGTTGCAATTGTTGTTACCTCAGGCTTTAAGGGAGGATGTTTTGATGGAGGTGCAACAGAGGCATGGACAGCAGGGGGTTCAGCGGACTTTAGATTTGCTGCGTCAGCGATGCTATTAGCCAGGAATGTCTTTGGATGTGTCCAATTGGTGTCAGACTTGTGAAAGGTGTCAAGTTGCCAAGGACACCCAACCCATGGCTCGTAGTTACATGGGGCATTTCTTGGCTTCACGCCCTAATGAGATCCTCGCTATGGACTTTACGGTGTTTGAACCAATTTGTGACAGGGTTGAAAATGTCCTAGTTATGACGGATGTCTTTAGTAAATATACGTTGGCCGTGGCCACTCGGGACCAACACGCTTCTACTGTGGCCCAGGTGTTGGTGACCGAGTGGTTCTCAAGGTTTGGTGTCCTTGCTCGGTTACATTCAGATCAGGGCCGCAACTTCGAGAGTGCTCTTATCCAGCAGTTGTGTACTCTTTATGGCATTGAGAAATCTCGAACTATACTGTATCATCCAGCTGGAAATGGCCAATGTGAGCGGTTTAACGAATCCTTCACAATTTACTGTGAACCCTTCCGGTTTCTCAGAAGCGGGACTGGAGTTTCTGCCTTCCACAACTTTTGTACTTGTATAACACCATGATTCACCTAACTGTTGGGGAGTCCCCTTTCTTTTTAATGTTCGGGCAAGAGCCAAGGCTCCCAGTGGATTTTCTGTTGGGTCGAGTCCAGGAACCAATTAAGGGTACTGTCCATGATTGGATTCAGGAACATCAGACCCGGTTGCAGATTGCCTCTGAAGGTGCCTGAAACAGGTTGTGATTGGCAGCAGAGCGCCGAAAGAAAAAGCATGATCGGCATGTCTGAGATGCTCCTTTGAAGGAAGGCCAGTTAGTGAGGTTGCGGGATTTTAGTGTAAGAGTGCACCATAAGATCCAGGATTGGTGGGAGTCAGTGCTGTACAGAATGTTACGAGCAACAAGAGATGGCGGTGCTGTGTACAGCATTGCACCTGTAGATGACCAGACTAAGGTTAAACAGGTGCATCTTTCACTATTGAAAGGTGTAGTTGGCGATAGGACTCCAGGTTGTGCCCTGAGGTCCCCTGCTACTTTGGTGGATGAGTCTCAATCAGAGAGTGTGTTGGAAGGTGGTGGGGACCTACAGTATGGGATCTGCAGTATGAGGACCCCCGGAGGCTTGATATTGAAGGGGCTGTGTTAACTATTCCATCTTCACAACCCTCACAATCTGAATTGACCCCTATGGGGTTAGGTCCTGTGGCGGCCCCTGCAATTTTAGTAAGGGAGGTACCATCTTTTCCTCCATCTGTCACTCGTCCTGGCCCTAGTGAAATGATTATGTGATGGAACTTGCGGTTGACAAACACAAAAGAGGAGAAAAAAAAAGGGGATGGGTGGCAGATCAAGTAATAAACACATACATACATAGGTACATCATACTACTGACCCAGAGCATTGTTGATCGACAAACAGAGTCCAGTCCATGCACTGCTTGAGGAGACACTAGCTTTGTTCAATCTAGCTGTGGTCTCTTCTAAAGTTGCAATGTCGAGCAAACACACAATCCAGTAACTCTTTAAATTAATGTACGCTTCCAACCACAGTTGAAGGATTGCTTTCTTGGCAGCAGTGAAGCCTGCAAATAACAAGCGCTTTTTGTGTAAAGTAAGCACAAGTGCAGATTTTTTAATTCATTGGCAACATCTTACAGCATTCACGATTTCTTTTTGTGACTGCAGCACAGCTTCAGTCAGCACACAGCCGGATGGTCGCCCCCCAGTTTCTGAGGCACGGGAATGTGTGCAGCCAGCGCCTAAAGATGTGCTTGGCACAGCAGCACCAACAGCGCCTGTTTCGTCGTCAGCACTGCGGGCACCTCTTATACTATTGTTTGTAAGAATAAACAAACAGAATAAACGAAAGTAACACCGCATCTGCGCCCTACTTATTATTCATAAACATGCAAGTAATTCAAACAAGTATGGTACGAGAAAAACTCACCCGCGCTAACATCGGTGTCCCCCTCCCCCGATAAAAGTGTCCCCGATCATTGCTGCAACTCGTTGCTCAAAGGGTGTGAGACCGAGAATTCCGCTACCTCCGCCTGTGCTGTTAAGACTTATGGCGAGAGGCCGCTTGTTTTTTCACGTCGATTTTAATGTCCGACCACTTCTTTTTAATTTCGGCCACCGTGCGAATTTCGGAACCAACTCTTTTAACTGACTCCGCCACTCTGTGCCACTCCGTCAACTTTCATTTATTGCTGATGCCACTACTTAAACCACTAAATAATATCACTTTTCTGTTAACATGACCTCCACTTCGCACTTGATGAAATACTTCTTTTTCCCACGTGGTTTATCCATTGTTACAAGGGCGTAGATTTGCTCTGGACATTGGTGGGGACCTATGACTCCACCCCCCCCCCCTC